TATATATTAAGTTTCTTTTTTAGAAATCTAACTTTGTCTTTGTATCGATAAAATTTTGGAAACCTTATTTTATCTCCGGCCATGCATAGCTAATAAATATATATTACTGTTGAGAGATTATAATTAATAATATTTTTGAAAAATAAATAAATATCTTTTTACCACTAAGAATAATTTAAAAAATGTAAATTAATAATATTTTTTATCTTTACTCTTTAGTAGAATTTTATACTTCTTATATGTTCAAAAAAATATAACCTTTCATTCTTTTTAGATAATCATTTACAATTATTTAATATCCTGTTTATGTAACTATTTGATATATAAAATATATCAATTCTTCTAATTTATATATAATTTTTTTCCTATTTTACCTATGATATTAAGGAGATATTATGATATGTAATATTTTTTGTCCTGTTTGAGGGCACACTTGTAATTTTTAAGTAACTGGAGGGCTGAATGAGAGTTTTGGGTGGATGCTTTAGAGGGGGAGGTACCTGCAAAAGGCGCTCCGACGCTCAAGTTAGGACAAACACGATTCTCGAGAGTAATAAATGAATAGTGCATACCTCGTTTTACGTTACCTATTTATACTACTTATCATGGGCCCTGAACGTGGTGGGTCTTCTGACACTTACCAAATTAGGTAATATGGTGCTAATCGATTGATTATGCCTTAATCGCGCGTTTGTCCTTGTTAATCATGATCATCGTCTTAATTGTTGTTCGGCCCTATCGACCTTTGACTGAGCCGATAGGTATAAGGTTGGGGCTGCCCTTCGTTCTCGGCCTTTGGCCCAGCTGATAGATAAAGGATTGGGTTGCCCTTCGTTGTCGACCCTTTGCCGAGCCGAGGAGTTGCTGAGGGGTAGAGCCCATTATGACACCTTGATGTTTGGTCTTATCAGTCTCTGACCGTGTCGAGGGGTGTGTGATTGGGGTTTCCTCTCGGTTTCGACCATTCGCCGGACAGAGACGCTGGTAAGAAGGTTAACCAATAACACTGACCTAGTTGAGTCATTGATGACTTTGTAAATTTGTTATTATGGTCATAGCCGTGTCCGAGATCTGTATCGGTGTCTACTAAAACATCATGTGTCGATCTACGTAGTCGATAGGACCCTTCCGGTACAATTTTTTTTTCTCGACTCTTTATTGGATGATTATATATGTTACATCTGTTACACTCTCTAGTTTCATATATATTTAATTTTACTATTTAATTAATTTTTCAATCGCTTTAAATCAGACAATTTAAGTGTTATAAAAAATACTGTTGGACTTGGAAGTAAAATTTAAAGATGCAGTATACATTTCTGTAATTTATGTCTTAATTTCAGTGAGGTCTAGGTGTATTGTAAATAATTGGATGCCACCTTTTGTATGGCATGGGCAGAAAATAATTGGATGGCATGCAGCTTTAAGCTTTTGTATGACATATGGCCAGAATCCATGGTGGTTTTCTTTGATGCTTTCTTTTTCATGAGTGGGAGAAAACATTCAACGTTGTATCTGTGTATGTTATTCACACATGGGGAACATGGCACAGTTGTTCAGGTTGTCGCTTTCCTTACATCTGATTAGAATTCAGAATCCGTATTCAGAACTCAGAACCCAAACTTTCTTTTTACAGATAAAATAAAACAACAACCATATTTCATTTTTTTTAAAAATATCATAATTAAGTAATCATAAATTAAATTAATTGTTACGCTTAGGACAAAGATACAAACTTTCTATCCATTTAGGGTTGTTACGGAAATATTTTATTTTATTTTCGTGTCATGTCACCCGATAATAACCATATACATGTTTCTGCATGTACTATATATTTGGTTGAAATAAAAAAGTGAAAGAAAAAATAAAATTCTTTTTATAGTTCACAAGTATTTCTTTTTATTAGAGACAAACATATCTAAATTAGATAAATTTCTTAGTTTGAAATTATTGATTAAACTAAATTAATTTTATACTAATTGGCATACATACTCAATAAAATAATATTTTTTAAATTTTTTAGTTGTTTGGTAAAGAGTGAAAGAAAAGGAAAGTGTAAATATTTTTTTCCTTATTTTTGATTGGTTGAACATGAGAAGAAACATAAATGTATGTTCGTAAAATGATATGAATACCTATAAGCAAAAATGAAATATAATAAAAGAAATAAAAATAAATTAAAATTTATATTGCCACTTAAAATTAAAAGAAAAAAATTAGCAATATAAATAAATAAACAAAATGTTCTACCACGCAAGGACATTTATGCCTTTTTAACTTAAATTAATAAATTCACATTCTTCCTCCCCTTTCTTCAAGCATTGTAATTCTTATAAATAAACAAAAATTCGATGCAAACCCACAATCCACATTTATATGACAAATAAACATAATAAATGTTATACTAGTTCTTTGATCCTCCTCCTTGTTAAGGTAAGATAGGGTTGGATTTTTCAAGGTGTTAGAAAGTGCTAGAAAACCTTGGAATCATTTTTTGTGATGCTTGCATAATGTTACTGTGCCGTAGTCTTGGGGCTTTTATTCTGCACTGTTGAAGTCCTTATTAGCCACGATTTTATATATCATCCTTAGCTAAATTTATCATATGTAAAAAAATCGATGACATGAACCACGATTGATAAGAGTCTCTTGTTACTTAATCAAGTAACTGAATTTGACTTCTGACTTGTGTGTATTTAAAAAACTCAAATTGAGAAGATATAAGTATTTATCTATTCAGTTTGACAAATTCTTAAAGAAGATTATTTTTTGTGTTTGAGAGATATCCTAAAAAAGAATTCATCGTAAAAATAACAGTTATATCTATTTCTTGTACCAAAGTGCTATGAAGTTATGGAGTATGGAATAAATATTTTGTGTAGCTTTTAGATGCTAGACCAAGATGTCTAGTGCCCTATTCTACAAATTATGGAATTCCTTATAGGTCAAATATAGTGGAAATCATTACACATGCATGTGACAAATCATGGTCCGTATAGTTGTTATTAAACTCGTGTATGAACGTTGGGAAACTATGTAACCAAATTCTAAGATGCTTATTACCGCTGAACCGCAAATT